CTGGCAGTGGCGCACCATCCGGCCCGGCCGATACAGCCAACTCCTCGCCATGGTCGTCCATCAAAATGGCCCACGGATCGTGGCCATTTGGCGCCGGGGGATCTCCCCATGGCAGCCCAGCTCGCTCTCGGCCCGGGCTCTCTTCGGTTCCGGAGAAGCGCGCCGCCAAGTCCCTGGCCTCCACCAACTCCCCCTCGCGGCTGCATTGCTCCTCGCTGGTGAACTCCCCCTCCGGAGGGATGATCTTCGGGAGCTCGGCCAGTGGGGATCTCTTCTCCTCCATGTCACTCCTTGAGTCGGCGCCCGCCTCCTCCCCTGCCGCCGCCGCCGCCGCCGCCGCCGCCGCCGGGGGGGGCGAGCCCAAAGACTTGTGCCTGATCGCGGCCGGCCCCGCCTCCTGTCCCGGGGGTGGGCTGATGGCCGAGCAGCCCCCTTCGGCGCCCCTGCTCGGGCCGCTGGACGCCGGGGACTGGGATCCCTGGCAGCCGGGGCCGCCATCGGCCTGCTCCTCCTCGTCCCCGCTGCCGGGAAGCGGGCCTGACCCGGACGCCGGGACCGACGCCGTGGTGGTCACCCTCCGGTCTTTCGGCCTGTACAGCTCGCAGATGGGCCCTTCGCGCATGTCGTCGCTGAATGTGGCCGGCTCGGCCGGCCGCCCAGGGCCGCGCTACGTGACCGGGTCTCGTGTGGCCGGCCGCTACCACCACCAGCCCGGGGCCACGCCCACGCACGCGGTGTCCTTCGCCCCGCAGCGCGTGCCCTTCACACCGACGGCCCCGAATAGCCCGGCCCTGGGGGGTCGGGTCGTGGCCACGCCCATTCCCGTCAGCCCGCATGCCAGCCGCTCTCCGAGTGTCGGCCTTCGCAGTCCCACAGCCCCGCACAGTGTCCCGGCCAGCCATGTGGAGGGCTCCCCCTCGACCGGGGCTTCACCTTCTTTGCCCCCTGCCCGGGACTCCGGCGCCCGGGTGGTCACCTTCTCCGGGCAGCAGCCATGGGCTCCGCCGGCTCTCGGTGCCGGCCGGCCTGGAGCTCCGCTATCAAGTCCCCCCCCCATCGGCGGCCCCGGCCAGCCTGGCACTCCCACCCTCTCGCCATCAACCTCCCGGCCAATGGACTTGGACTTGCAGGCAGGCGATGCGGCCATGGGACAGGCGGCCGCCTCTTCCGAGGCACCCCCCCGGCCAACGGGCATCTTCACCAGCGTCACTTTCCTCGGGCCGGGCGGCAGCACAACCGGCACCAGCGGTCCCGGTGCCGAGCAGAGCTTCGGCTTCACGAGCGGCGCATGGCCCCTGGCCGCCGAGTCGGCCCCCTCGCTGGACCACCTGCCCATCGAGCTGCCGGCCTGGTCGCTTGCCCCGTCGGCCTCCTCTTCGACGTCCTCCCTGCCGGGGGCGGCCGGGTTTTCCCTTTCCTCCTCCTTCTCCTTTGATGACCCCTCCCCGGCGTCGAATTCCGAGTCGCCGGCTCACGCCTTCGAGCCTCCTGGCGCCGCTGCCTTCACATCCTTCCTCAGTCCGCGGTCCGCCACTCGCGAGGGGCCTCCCTTCCCCCAGGGCCCGACCTTCGTGCCGCTGACCACCCCGCACGACCGGACCCCGGGCCCGGGGGCCGCGCCTCTGGCTGGCCCTGCGTCCATCGATGGGACGACCATCGTCCGGCCCTCCTCGCCCGGGGGGGCAGCCGATGGCCGGCTTTTCCTGGATGCCAGCCCTAGCCTGCAGCTGTGGCGTCACCAGCCTGCCGGCTCTGCCACCGCCGAGGGAGGGCTCCTGGCGCAAACCCCCCGACCCGGGTCGGCCAGGGCCCTTTGCTCTCGGGGCCTGGCGTTGCTTTGCACGCCGGCCCCGGCGGGCACTCCTGCCTCGCCGGACAGCATGCGCCTCCGGGCACCGCTGATCCTGGACACCCCGGCCACCAGCACCACGGACAGGGCCCGGTCGCGGCGCTGCCGGCGGCCATCACCCCGGCATGAGGCCATCCTCCTGCGCCAAGTGGCCAAGGCCCGCATGCGCGCTGGACGGCCGCCGGCCGCGGCTTCGCCAAGCCGATACCACTCCCCCATGCTGGCCGTCGAACAGCCGGCCCTCGGTGTGGCCGACATCGTGGCCCTTCTGCGGGCTGGCGCCGTGGCCACCAGCCTGACGCTGCTCCTCGGCCTGACCCTGGCCACAGTGCCCGGGGCCGGTGCCCCTGCCCGGGCGGCCGAAATCCAGGAGCTCGTCGAACTGACAGCCCTGGCCCAGCCGCTGATGTCTCCTGCGGCCGGCGATGGGCCTGCTTCGGCTCGGCCGGCCGACACCCCCATCCGGTCGGGGCACGTGCGCCGGGCGTGTGTTCACGCGCGTCGCCTCTTCCAGGAGGCCCGCCAGCAGGACCTGTTGCCGCAGGCGCTCCCCGGGCATGCGGCCAACGCCGAGGCCGCATGGGTCCTGCTTTGTCTGGTGCAGGCCTTCCTCCTGCGCCGGCCGCTGCTGGCACTACGTGTTTTGAATGGCGCCCCCGCTGAGGCCATGTCGGTACGTTCAACAGACACCCTCCGTGCCCGGGCTGACGCCGGTGCCATTGCCGGCCCCCCTTTCTTGCTGATGCAAAGGCTGACGTGTGCGTGGGTGTGCCCGCCCTTCTCTCCCTCTCTCGCTCTCTCTCTCTCTCTTTCCCGGCTGCGAACAGCCTCCCGCCCGTGCATTGGTTTTCGACGCGGCGGTGGGCGTCCTGCTGGCCCAGTACCGTGGCCTGCACCATGAGACCAGCAAGCCCGTGCTTGACGCGCACTTCTGGCAGATCATCGGCCGGTACTCGGATGAGCCGGACCGGCCGGCCCTCACTCCGAGCTCCCTGCCCCGGTCTGGGCCCGAGACCGGAGCCGAGGCTGGAGCCGCCTCCGAGGAGGGGCCGCCCCCTGGCAAGCATTTTTAAGGCGGCCATGTCCCCTCTCTCGCCCCACCTCCCCCTTCCCCTGTATTTTTAGTAGTTTCTGGAGCCCGCCTCCAACTGGGCCACCCCCCCCCGCTGGGAGGCCTGCCACCCCGGCCCCGAGCGGCCACTGCGGCGAATGGCTCCCGACTTCGGCTAACCCTCTGTTTCTTGTGACCCCCCCCTCCCGGCGCCGGGCTCCGGCCTCTGTCAGTGAACATGGTCGGCGTCATGGACGAGGAGGACATCAGCTACCTGGACTCGATCGAGTCCACTCGGCGGCAGGCGGCCTGGAAGCGCGAGGACGAGGAGCGCCGCCAGGTGGAGGCCTTTCGACAGAAGGCCACCGAGGCGGCGGTCATGTCGGCCCGCGTGAGCGCCGGCCTGGCGGGAGCTGAGGATCCCTTTGAGGAGCTGCTGCCGGCCGACGCCAGCCAGGTTCTCCAGCCGCTGGGCGGCGAGACGCCCCCGGCGGCGGCGGCGACGGCGACGGCAACGCCAGGCGACAAGCCCACGGTGCGGCGCCCGGCCGCCGGGAAGGCCCGCGCGCTGGCCGGCGTGCGGGTCAAGCGCTCCAACGGACCGGCCGACGTCCTGGAGGACCGGCCGACCGCCGGGTGCAAGCGCCCGCGCTCCGACGACCCGGCGCCGGAGGGGGCCGACCCCGCGCCCAGGCCCGGGGGCCACGATGTCGCCACAAAGGCGGCGGATTCGGCCCCGAAGGCGGTCGAGCCTGGGCCGGCTGCCGGCGCCCTGGCCGGGCTCCTGGCCCAATATGAGTCGAGTTCCTCGTCGTCGTCGTCGTCGTCGTCGGAGGAGGAGGATGGGGATTAGGCCCGGGCATGCTCTGCTCCTGTGCCTCCCCCTCGCCTCCTCTCTGTGTCCTCCTCCCTGGGCGAGCGGGGGGGGGGG